AAAAGGGAGAAAAAAAACTCATGGCCCATGACAGAGCTAGACTGCTTGATACCTTTTGAAAAGCAGAAAGGGTCACAAATCCCACTTTTAAGGGCCCTTTGGTGAATCGTAATCGTAAGTAGAGGCTGCAAGTATATACGAGCACCAAGAGAGAGAGAGAGAGAGAGAGAGAGAGAGAACTTGGAACACAAACTTTTGTACAGCTAATAAGATTCAAGAATCAGTGAATCACATTGCTTTTAAGATGAGTGGGGAATCATGTGGAGAAATCTTCCCCAACGTGATCACCAACCAATTATTCCTAGAGTTGTCTGAAAACGATGTGAACTTTGTGACTATCTCAAAACAGAACGCCCCCACACAACACAGCCCAGACCAGTTCAACTTCAATCTGCAGCGCAATTTGTCAGATTTAACAGAAAACCCTTTTTTTTCTAAAGAAGGGTATATATATATAATAATAACCCCAGAGGCAAAAACGAGAGAACCATATATAATCACTGGTTAAATTTGATTCTTTACGCCTTTGTGACCTATGCTATGAGTCGTGTGGAAATAAATCAAATGCTGGGTTTTGAGTTAAAAGTAAATTAATAGTATTAAATAAAATTAATTTGATTGTAAGATTAAGTGAAATTTTAATTTTTATATTTAAATAATATTTATAATGTAATAAATAAAATTGAATTAATGTAAATGTAGGAGATATATTATTAGAAACTAGTAATCACCCGTGAGATGCACGGGAAAATTATTATCTATGTGCTTTTCAGAAGGCAAAATTGTATATAATTGTGTAATAACAAAATGATTATGATCATAAGAATAGACATATAAACACATAAGTAAACTGAAAAGATCATATATTATTGAACACTTCCCTATATCCAATATTGTTGGTTTGATTCTTTGGCACATCATCTCCCACAAATTAAGATTTTCAACCCTTTTCGGTTAGTGACACGGGAGACAACAACATATAACTGGTCATGACTGAACACCGGTTTTCTTAAGAAATAAGCCAACATGAGATAAGGATTGTCACTGGCTCTTGTTTATAGTCATGGCGTAAGAAACCATAATGGGAAACTGCTGCCGCCAGAACTTGAAAGGAATTCTAACATCAGAATGAGTTATGACCATTCTTGGAATCAACATCGTATCACCAGCATGATCTCCTCTGAGTATCTTACACTTAAGAACATGAGTGGATAGTTTTGGATATGTGCTTTCAACGATTTGAGCAATAAGATCATTAGATGGCTGAAGCAAAATATTTTCGGGTATGTCTTCAATTGAATTGGATTTATCTCGACCACCATCCCAATGACATCTAAACATGTGTTAAATATGAGTAAAATTATTATTTATCATTTAAATGCTAAAAGAATAATTTAAATAAGTGAAAATGCAATTACCAAATATCATTGATTCGTCGATCTTCTCGACATCAGTTAGTGTGATGAACCTTCGAAAGTCGAAACGGTAAATTGGAAAGTCACCCTTGTAGCTTATGTGTTCAGTTCTACCATGTAAAATAAGCTTGTATTGTACAATGGTGGATCTGTTACATTCCAATGTTACTCTCGACCTGATAGTTTCGAAATGCATAGACAACCCCTTGTTGGTATTCATTGATGAAAGTTGGGATGTTTACTGCTCTTATTATTCCTGTAATTCGACCGCCTTGCAACAAAAAAAAAAGATAATATTATAAATTATTGTGTAATATGAGAAGAAAGAATTAATCATTAATTTGATTGTGAATTATACCTCAATATCATGAAAGACAATTTAAAGGATGTGCTTGTAGGATGAGTATTCATTAGTCATTTGAAAAACCCGAACCACTCGTAACTTGAGTATTGGAATGTTGGTCCTTGTTACTTGCTTGATGTTTCCCCCATGCTTTTGCCATTTTTCTGCTTGTCTGATTGTAAGTCCAAATGGGAGTGAGTTTTTTGTGATACGTGATGGACGTTCGGGTGTTCATTTTAAAGGCATGGGATAATAGTTGATAACCATTGAAATATGAGTTTTAATAAATTCAAACTCTGGTGGGATGATAAGATAAGTGCAAAATTAGATGGATAATAAATCAATTTCTCTATAAATAAGTTTAAATATCCCTCTCGTAACAGATTTCAGTTCTCATAATTTTTTATTTAATTTAACTAATTTTAGTCAACACGTGTTTTTTAAATGTTGCTTAATAATAATTGATAGCCATTAGATAATAATTTATAGCCATTAAAATAGGAGTTTGAATAATATGATGAGAAGATAAGTCCTAATCAGTTGGGTGGTTAAGCAGTGTAGATGTTTGTTCGTGTACAAAGAATTGCAATATTAACCTGTTAATATATTAATTATTAATTTATTTATTGATCAAAGTTGTATAATAATATGTTTTTAAGTGGCATGGAATTTAAGTTTTATTTTATGAGGTTTTTATGTTTGTTAGGTCTGATTAAAACATGTATTTGTATTGTAGTATTTTAATTGTTATTCACGTAATTGTACTGTATTATTTAAATTGTTATCTATCTAATGACTTATTAATTTATATATTGATCAAAGATGTATAATAATGTATTTTTTTAGTGGAATGGAATTTGAGTTTTATGTTATGAGGTTTTTATGTTTGTATGGATCCGATTAAAACATGTATTTGTATTGTAATATTTAAATTGTTACTTATGTTATTGTATTGTATTATTTAAATTGTTATTTATCCAATGACATTTATATAGGAAACCAAATTGAATGAAATTGTATAATGAACACGTGATTACCTTTCATAAGATTAAATCAAAATAAGAGATTAATTATAAAAATAATGACAACGGTTATCTCTTTTAGGTGAGTTATCAACACATTCCTATAATCTCTCCACACCATAAATTTTTGAATTCAAAATGTGATATTAAATTTCGTGTCTTTTTATCTCTCTACACCAAAAATTTTTGAATTCAAAATGTGATGTTAAATTGAGGCTTTTTTTTTTCAAGCTTTCTATAATTAGAATGTCAAAGGTATTGTTTTTTTAGTCAAAAGTTTATAAAAATGATTTAACCAACAACTTTTTTATATATAGATAGATACTATATAGTTAAAAATAAAAGTGAAATAATATTGAATTATTAATTGATTATTTAACTATATTGATAAATAGTAAGAGGGTTAAGTTGGACAAAGGTTGGGTTGAATTTTAAGTTATAGATGTAATAAAATTATTGAACCAATCAAACCAGTTGTATTATGTATCCAATTGCGTGACCTTAAAGACTTGTTGGGACTTTAAGATCATATAGTATTTAATTTAGATTTTTTAAGAGAGAATTTTGAGGTATTTATTAAAAATCTTAACATGTCACGAGATATTAAAGAGGTATTTATTAAAAATCTTAACACGTCACGAGATATTAAACTTATTTAAAACTGAAATTTACTAAAAACTAGGGTAAAATAACAGTAATTGAAGTGGGATAATGTAACCCAAGAGCGCTTGGATGAGATGGCTTGGGTATCTTCCAGCTTAACCAGTGGTCTCGAGTTCGAGCCCTGGGAATGCAGCAGTGTATCCGGAAACCGGAAGGTCCTGTACAAAAAAAAAAAAAAAAAAAAAGAAGTGGGATAATGTACTTGTAATGTTTTTATTGGTATGATTCGTGTGAAAATCTAATTGGCTTCGTACGTGTCCCAAAATATTGGGTGGACATGTGAGGCCCATGCGCTTAAAAAATTGGAAGTTTTGTTGATAAATATATTAATATTGTTATAAAATGTGAGGAATATAAAGAACACAATGTATAAAAATCGGAACAAATTATAATTTGCTTTCTTTCACTTTTCGGTACAAAATTTGCACTATAGTACTTGCCCTTTTATAGATGAAAGTGGGCACACAATTCAACATATATATTAATATAATAATCTCTAAATTCAAAATGATAAGTTTTTAATAGTGGTAAATTACACCACTTGTTTATAACACTCCCCTTTGGAATTACCACTATTAACTGTGCGTTTATGCTGCCTCGTTAGAAACCTTATCTGGAAAAACCCTGTGGGAAAAAAACCGAGATAAGGAAAAAAGAGTACAGCCGCACATACTCCCCCTCAAGTTATCATCCGTGCAAATCTCGAAGATGTCTCATTCCAATATTGTGTATCTGCTTTCGAAACATTGTCGTCGGAAGCGCCTTCGTAAACAAATCTGCTGCATTATCACTTGATCGAATGTATTGAACTTTAATTTGTTTGTTTCTTTCAAGCTCTTGCGTATATGAGAAGAACTTTGGCGGAATATGTTTAGTTCTGTCACTCTTAATGTATCCTTCTTTGGTTTGAGCGACACATGCTGCCTTGTCTTCGAATATCACCGTCGGGTCATTATTGTTCGATAGTCCGCTGGCTTGTTGAATATGTTGAGTCATGTTTCTGAGCCAGATGCTTTCCCTAGTTGCTTCATGAAGTGCGATGATCTCAGCATGGTTTGAAGACGTCGCGACTAATGTTTGTTTCTGGGAGCGCCAAGAAAATGCAGTTCCACCAATCGTGAAAATGTAACCAGTTTGAGATCTTGCTTTATGGGGATCTGAGAGATATCCTGCATCTGCAAAACCGATTATTTCATGCTTTTTATCGTTAGAGTAAAACAGTCCCAAATCGATTGTCCCTTGGAGATAACGGAATATATGCTTGATTCCATTCCAATGTCTCCTTGTAGGTGCCGAGTTATATCTTGCTAATAAGTTTGTAGCAAAAGATATATCTGGTCTGGTACAATTAGCAAGATACATAAGAGCTCCTATTGCACTCATATATGGTATTTCAGGACCAAGTATTTCTTCATCTTCATCACAAGGTCGAAATGGATCCTTTTCAACGTCTAATGTTCGATTGACCATTGGGGTACTAAGTGGATTCACCTTGTCCATATTGAATCGTTTCAATATTCGTTTAGTGTAATTAGATTGATGGACAAATATCCCATTTTGGACTCGT